AAAAAAAAAGAAACAGGTCTACATAATTCAAAATTACCCTTGCTAAAACACGACCTTCATAATACCCCAAAAGTGGTTATTTGGATCTTAGGGGGAACAGCATTCTGGAGCATTGGTCACCAACCAGTGGGCCAGGGACCACTGGTGGTCCGCAAGAAAATTTTGATGGTCTGTAGAGAAATGTCACCCCCAAAGCAATTCATCCAGGCTGTGCAGGAACACAAGGCTGCACTGCCCACATGGCCCATGGGAACACAAGGCTTGCGTCGCTTGCATTGCGAACAACATGACCTGTACACTCTAAAAGGCCGCCAGAGGTGACCAGCAGACTTTCACTAAGACTCCGAACTTGAAGATTGAACCTCAAGCTTTGCATTTGTTTTGTTTGATGCTTTATTAATGTTTACTGTTTTCCTTAGTTACATAGCTAACTGTTTATCTTAATTATATAGTTATCTGCTATTCATAGTATTACTGTTTACCGCTTATCTTAGTTTATAGTTAATTTTTTTTCTCTTCTCTTAATAGTCGAATTTACAATTCCAGGCGAGGAGTGTGCTGTCCCAGCCAGTCTATGGGAATTGGATAGTTACTTAGGAATTATGAGCTGTCCCCTTAAGGGAATGCATCATGGTAAATGTAGCTAAAGGTAACCTGGGAAATGTAGTTCATGTCACATGGCCACATCTGTAATCCCGATTGGTCACTAATTAGACCCTTGATGGGTTGGGGGAGTTTTCCTCACTTTTGCCTGAATTCTCTAACTCATGGCTGCTGCTTTCCATCGCTACGAGATGGGTTAGGAGATAACCATCTTTTACTAAAAAGCAGATATGCAAAGGATTGGTCATTAAAGAAGAACTTCATCACAAATGTGAGTTATGAGGATACCTGATGAACCAATAAATGTACTTTGTTATGGACGTCTTGTTGAGTTTATCTATCTGCATCTGCATAGCTTACAAATCCACTACTGTGCAGAATACAGAAAAGGCATCATAATACTGTCATTTTAGAACTTTAATTGATTTGAAGCTAATTGTCTTTAATGATTAATATAACTTATATAACCTGATGATTACTTTGTCCATTGATTGTAATTATTCTATACAAAATTTGAATAACCCTGTGTTAAAACCTTTTTTTTTTTTACTGCATCTGAAAGATTATGCACATTTGCAAGAAACAAAGTACAGTTGGAAAATAATGAACAATTCAACTCAAATTATTTTTTTTAAAAAGCCAATGCAATCCTAAGGCTGCATTAACAGAGGGATAGAATCAAGATCACATGAACTGTTAGTATCACTTTATAATGCCTTGGTAAGGGCACACTTGGAATACTGCATCCAATTTTGGTAGCCAGGATGTAAAACAAGATGTTGAGATTCTAGAAAGAGTGCAGAGAAGAGCAACAAAGATGATTAGGAGACTGGTGGTTAAAACATACAAAGAATGGTTGCAGGAATTGAGTATGTCTAGTTTAATGAAAAGACGGACTAGGGTTGACATGATGGCAGTGTTCCAATATCTCAGGGGCTGCCCCAAAGAAGAGGGAGTCAAGCTATTCTCTAAAACACCTGAAGGCAGGACAAGACCAGATGGAAAGTGATCAAGGAGAGAACCAACCTAAAAGTAAGCAGAAATTTCCTGACAGAATAATTAATCAGAGGAACAACTTGCCCTCAGAAATTGTGGGTGCTGCATTACTGGACATTTTTAAGAAGAGATTGGACAAGCACTTGTTTGAAATGTTAATAGGGTTTTCTGCTTGGGGGGGGGGGTTGGACTAGAAGACCTCCAAGGTCCCTTCCAACTCTGATTTTCTGTTATGTCTTTATTACTGTCATAGATCAGCATATCTACTAGATTAATCACTGGGTTCACTCACATTGCAGGGAAAACCAAAAAGTACAAGCTGTTATTATTCTGTTAACAGGCCATTCAGAACCATAATTAATAATTTAATGATGCTAAATTAGGCAGCAGAGGACAGCAATTTGCTTTTCCATTTCATGCCTATGTGGGTCGAATCAATTCTCTTGCTATGCTCAAATTTGGCAGTTTCTCCCATGATGGAGAACGACAACACTCAAGCTATTTTCAGTGGGCACACACAAGAATGTTATCACAATCTCTTGAAAAGCCTCTGCAGACTGTCCCCGAGACACAATGCCTTCCATTAAACTTAGTGGAACAGACATGAATAGGTTCAGGGCTATTTTTGAGAATCCAGTACATTTTGAGAATACTCCACCAACTCCAAAAAAGTTTGAAAAACACATTGAGTGACCTTGAGTTTACAAAGTGCAAATCCATCTGCGTACCTCGCAGGGTTGTGGCTGGATTTCAAGTCCCCCCCTCAGTTCCCCCCCCCGCCCCGCTTAAGACCAGCCCCCCC